CCCCCCCCAGGGGTGAATTAGAAGATGCGAAAGGGAGTGACTTTTTCTAAATTAGTCCTTCCCTCCTAATCGTAATCTCTTCTACCTCCTTTCCCTAGACACCCAACTAACACGGAGACAAAAATTCCCTGCGTCGCATCAAAGCTACAAATTTACACGACTTTACCTGAACCAATATTTTTTTGTAAATATTTCTAAAGGATTTGTACGGAAAAAATTTCGGCATAGAACGTCGCACTCAATCAATCGTTTTGGTGGTGGAGGAACTGCGAATTACCTTGATTCTAGAAAGAAATTTGCCATTTTTCACTCCTCTCGAAGATAAACGCGGTCGTTTCGATTTTTTCAAGGTTAAAATAAACTACCCTGTTATTTATTTCATAAATTATTAATTCTGCTCATATTGAAGAATTTCTCCTTTTGACAAAAAGGACGAATAAATTTGAACCTAAATACTTACGAATCACATGAAGTTGGAAAGTCCTCTCAATTTTGGGGATAACTGAAGTACTGGAGTCTGGAGAGGGATTGGTCACAGTGCATCGGTATTCTCCCATGTTGCTGAGAGTAACCTTGCGAATAGTTAGTTGAGATTCAGAAAAGCGGGCTACTTCAGCTCTACTCGTTCCACTTCCTAGACCTGCGTGACTAGGATCCCCAGGTGTACCGGCATTAACATCTTCGACGTCTGCTCCAGTGAGTCCTGCTCCAACAGCCTGTGCGCCAGATCTCGTATTGCTGCGTCGAGTTAATCGATTTCCTCCAGACATTTGAGATGATGGCGACCCTTTACCCATACCCTGTTTATAGAACTCCCATGCGTAGTTCAATTGATAGGTTCGCCCATCAGCAGTCACGCTACTGCAATCGAAGGTCACATCCTCACCCCAGTAGCGAGTTATCACTGAATCGGAGTCTGTGTAGCTTTTCAGGAAACATGGTCCTTGAGGTAGGGATAATTATATGTTAAAACATGCCTGAGTAGATGACAGCTTTAATTAGACAAAAAATGTGTTGTCGATTTCTACGTGACTATGTCGTTATTTTAGCTTTCCCATACACTCTTCAGTTAACAAAGTTAGAATGAAGGAGGCGAAAATGAGGAGAAAAGTGGTGACTCCCTTTTGAGGAAAAGCGATGAGTTATTGTGGAGAGACCAGGGGATGCAAGCTTGTGAGTCATCAACGAGAGAAAGGCAGATGGAGAGAGAGAGAGAGAGAAAACGATTGACGAAAAAGGGCGAGAGAACACAAACCAGACACTAGTAACATGTGAAATGCAGTTATGTGTCCCTCTTTTCAGACACGATTGATAGCTTCTATGAATAAAACAATTTACAACGATGAGCATTCATGTGGAGACAAGTCCCGATCTGTAACTCCTCTGCCCATAGTCAGTCGGACTTCATTTACTAATGAATAATTAAAGCCCTTAAGACAACTTTTGACTCATTATGAGGCAATCTTTTTCCCTTATCTGCTTATCTGCGAAGTCAGAGGTGTAGAATTCGATGTTCATTGGTGTACACATAGTGAGTGAAGTTCTAATTCACATTGTGCAATATAAAAATTGCAGAGTTCAACAATATACCTCAAAGTTCTACCTCTCTAATCAAGCCAGGTGTCGGCTAGTGCCCACCTAACTAGAACTTGTTTAAATTAAAGTAGTACAGGGAAAGTAAAGGTAGGTCACTCTGGCCAACACTAAACATTATTTTAAATGGAAAATATATTCTAATGAAAAAATTAGTACTCGAATATACTTGATGATAGAAGATCAGCAGTAAATGGATGTGGTTAAGGAAAGACTTTCTAGGGTAGTATCTTCGGTTATCTTTTCTATCGAAATAATGAATCGTTAACCAACCTCTCACTTCGGCCAGAAATTGGATGAAACTGGCGGACGCGAGAGGTCAGCCAAGACAGGCAGACAGGGAGACAAACACGGGACTCCCCTCTCTTCCGAAGTCTGCCTCATTCTCCCTTCCCTCACTCAAAACACGAAGAAAAGGTGAGTCATTCGCCCTCTTTCTCGTGTTTACTGGGTTTTCTAAAAATTAGTCCCTTCGGCCGTCTTGCCCTATGCTTTGCCTTGCCTTTTGCCTTGTCCCACCCTGCTTTGAATGTTGTGAATGTATAGGCCATGCTTGTGTGGATGCATTTTCACTTTCCCTCTCTCTCTCCTCCTCCATGCCTTTTAGTTTTCTCTCCAACTTTAGTTCTTTCTATTCAGCCAGCCTCCCTGACAAAATCAAACCCACCCCCACCCCACTTCCCCGCTCTGAAGGATAGTATAAAATTTAGCCCCCGAAGGACGCGTGTAAGATAGTGCGATAGGGAAAAGTGAGGTGGAGGTGAGGAAGTGTATGTATGCATTCGCTCGTATTCGGGTACAGAATGTAAAGCGAGTGGGAGAGAGAGAGAGAGAAAAAAAAATCTTGACAGCAGCACCGAAATGTAGTACAACGCACTCCCACATCTTAGAGCCAAAACACCCATCTAATTGGGTGGGGAATCGACGTGATGCACAAAAGAAATGGAAGGAAGGCTAGAAGAAAGAAGAGCCTTCTTCCTTTCCGGTCAGCCCAGTCATTTCATTTTCGTTCCGATATTTAAATACAACAGTCAGTTATCTCCCCATCAGACTAACTGTCCTTTTCTTCAACAAGTTTGACTTAGCTATCAATCTCGAGTAATTACCACAAACTACTTATTACTTCTCAAAATTTTCTCATACGGACCTCCTCTTCTTCTGTCTGCTTTGCATCATTGGGTAACATGAGCGCTACCATTAGCAGTATCATTTGTAAAGTGAAAACCACTGGTAAGGCAATCCAATAAACATATCTGAGTTTTTACTTTTTGGGGGGTTTGGGGGTGGGTGGAGGTGGATAAAGGCATTGGCAAATAAAAATTGAGAGGAGTATTAGTGTATTAAATCATCATGGGATGTTTTTTAGCAATCCTCAGGCGTTCAGCTAAAAGTGCTCCTGGCTGCATAATCGCAATGGCTTTTCGTGGACCTAAAATTAGGACTTCAATGCCTATAACGTGTAAACAACCTCTGAGAACATATAACCCCTTAACAGCTATTAGAAAAAAATATTCTAATTGGGTGGACGAGGAACAGAATATGAACGTAAAGCTCGGTAACTGAAAGGTTCGGCTTAAAAGCAAAAAATCTATGAATAATTTGCGTAATCCAATCAAACCTTCTCATTTAAGTGATTTTATTAAATTAACAATATGAAAGATACGCTATAGCATACAATGAGTTTTTTTCCATTAATTAATCCCTATGTGTATTGAAAGTTTATAGTTTGGCCAGTTAAAGCGTTTATATTATAAACTCTGTTAACTCTAGGTCTCAAGGTTACTCCATGCGATACTCCTTTAACCAAACTCAAAAAGTCTCTGGGGAGTGGGGGGAGGGGGGGGGGATTTTGTGTATAATTTCCGTCATGTTGGGTGTGTGATGATGCAGGCATGTGAGACATCGTCTGAGGTAATTCCCACTAGTCTAGCCCCAGGTGGAAACCTATAACATGACCAAATATTGTCGGACTAAGTCGAAATGACGTCTACAAACTAATGCGCAATTTTTCCTAAGGCAAACTCATGCAGATGAATGAATACAAATTTAGTATTCGACTCATATAAATAAATGCCTTTTTTCCATTTTCAAATTATTCTTTTGCTTATGTTTTCCCAGTGGGAGAGGTTGAGAAGCAAACTGTATTTTTGGGGTGGGAGTGGGGGTGGGAGATGGGAGGAAGTGAAAGGAGAAAGAGAACACGAAAAATAATAAACAGGCCTGACCAGGCTACGAATTGCCAAGGGGGGTGTACACCGGTCGAAGCTAAGCAAGTGTTAATAAAGCAGAGGATGCAGAATAGCAAGTAGAGGAGAGCAGAGCGCACAGTTAATTAAATATCGAATTGTACGACTGAAGATGAGGTAATGTACCTTGTGAGGATGGAAATCGTTATTAGTTTGCAAAGATAGATTTTCAAATCTTAAGCAATATTACGGGCAGATTTAAATGAATCCATGGACAGGATAAAGACCCCTTTCAGTACATTCGAATAGCCTCGTCAAGATGGCAATCCCCATTTGAATTCGCAATGCATACTTAATATCTACAGCTAAGAATGATGCTTCGACTGTTAAAAATTCTTCTACATTTCCTTTTTAGCCAATGAAAGAAACTGGAGAAGGAAAAGGGGAGAGCAAAATCTCGCTTATGATACACCCATATCTCAAGAAAAGAACTGCTAAATAATGCAAAGCAAGCGGAGTGGGTGAAGGAGAAAGTTGGGGAGAAGCGATTAGAAGAGACAATACCTTTTTTTCGAAGAAGAAGCGCAGAGACAGAGAGAGAGAGAGAAACAACGATGAATAGGTAGTATTGGCTACTTGAGAGTAGCTTATGTGTGCTTAGTGGAGAGTGAGCTTTTTAGCTGAGAATACTGCTCTCTTTCTCAAGAGGGTTATTTCGCCAAAAAAGTTAAATTATGAAGAGATGAAAGAAAGTGATAAGCAGAGAGTGTGTGTTTAGTGTAATGCATAACTCACCTGCAGCATTGATTTTGCCATCGCGAGTAAGAGCGCACTCTCTCCTAATGGCTGGTGAATTGTAATCTAGCAGAAAAGAAAGCGGTTTAATTCAAAGAAGGTAGACCACATGGATGTAACACACGAGGATTCTTCTGCGTTGAAAGCCAAAATGAAATGACTCATGAGAATACAGCAAACCTCTAATTAGATCCATGCAAATCTCAATGAATGGCAAAGTCTCTCTGGTTGTTGTAAAAAACCCCACTTACCAACAACCCGAATAGCCATTTCAGCCAGGCTATTTCCAAAGCCGTTTACTGCGCTACACTGATAACGTCCACTAGCGTCGGTAGAATCGGCGTTAATGGTGAGGTTCTTTGTCTCGTCAAGGAAGTGAGAGGGGTAGTCCGGTCTGGTCCATTTGTAGAAGGGTGTTTCAAAGGGACAGGAAAGAGTGATTTGAGAATTTAATGGCACTAGGTAGCCACGACGGTGGGTTATCCTCTGTTGAAGTGTTGCAGCTACTGCGGGATCTGCCACACATAAATGGACAACGTTAGAAATGATGACGTAATTTCTGTGCCATCTCACAAACATTCTAGTCATATTACTCAATATTCTATACAATATTTTACCAATTTACCTGTACTATTGTTGAAAGAAGTGGATGACTAACTTTCCAATAAGATTTTTTTATGCACGATTGCTTGGGGAGTTATCCGCATTTTGTTTGTATCAAATTAGTTATAATATCTAATGTGTTAGTTTGGGTACATTAATGGTTGCTCTTATAAGTATTTTAATTGAAGAAGGTAGTTCAAGTGATCTCGATTGAGTGAATTCTAGTGGAAGTTATAAAGATTTCTTTTTTTCCAGGAACAGTGACAAGCCTTTGAGGTTACAATCATTCGTGCGTATTCCGATTTGCCACACTTTAAAGCGCAAATGCATGCCAAATAAAGCATGCAACTCAGCATGAAGATATTCTTAAAAAAAGCGCACTAACAAAGGACAATTCACTTTCCGGGGAAAGTATAAAGAAAAAAAACGGCGTGGTTACTTCTGACAGAATTTTAGACTCCCCGGATTATCAAACGGTCACTAACTATTCAGCCAATTTGTATCTTACACCAATTATAAGTAACTAAAGGTAATTGTATATTTTTTCTGCAAACTGGGTATTAATGCTTTTCCAATTTAATCTTATCTAATTGCTTTTCAATTTCAGTGTCCCCAGGCGCGCGCGATACACTCTGAAGAAAGCATTCCCATTAACCTTGGCAATGACGTGCCAACGAAGACCATCATGGAGAAAAAACGAGCCAACCTGTTATTTTCTCATTTGTATATATTAATAAGTCATCGTCAATCACGAATGCTAATTACCATATCGTTTGTGCACTTCGATTGATGAGGCACATTCACAATGAATTGCAGTGACTTGACTTTTCAGCCTTCACTATACCTGCGCGTTTAATGATAATATTAACAGACTCGAACACAAAAGAGACAAGTTAGCAAGGAAAGGCAAGAAGGAGAGGAATAACACATTCAATCGGGGGGCAAATGACCGTTTAGGGCAAGCGTCTGCACATACACCTACGAACGTGCATAGAGAGAGATACATGCAAAAGACAAGAAGTAGTTTTCCCTCCACCCCCCACCCGGTAGTTACACCTCTTAGCCTCCTTTTTTGATGCCTCTCTCGCAGCATTACCAGAGAATGAAGGCCAATTCTAAGCGGAAGTGGCAATACTTGTGTTTGTGAATTGGTATTTCTTCAAAACAGGGCTGTTTGGGATAAATTTGTGAAATGCTAGTTTGTTGTAGATATTGACAAAACTATGTGAATAGGGAGACAAACTAAGCACCAGCTGGCGGGGAAATGACTAATTTTGGGTCCTTTTTAACCTCTGACTTATTCCCAAGCCCTGGTTCGGAGTTGACACGAGGTAAGAGGTAGGCAACTGCAGATGATGCTCTATTTTCAAATAGTTAAATGCAGGATCAACATCAAGAGCCTTGTCTAGACCTTCATTTGGTCCAATGAATAATTTTAGACCACGTCTCTCAATTTAAAGTGAACCTAATAAGTTAGAAATACGCACATATTGATGACTCCTCTCCTAATAATGGCCGATATCTTTCAAACCTAAAACTCGCTCATACCATGAAGTAAAGCCATTGAAAATACTGAAAGTAAATAATTAAAGCCCATGTGAACTACACAACCCCTGTCCTTTAGAATATTTTTTCCTTCAAGGAAAGTAAATGTCTCTTTTGGCATCTCGAATTTCTCTTAAGTTCTAAGCAACATCACAGTGTAACCTATCCCCTGTTATAGTAGCAAATCTTCCTTAATCGAGTATTAAACGGTGTAAATGAAAGCATGTGCGATGTAGTCTGTATAAAGAAACAGCAGCCTTTTTTCCAAAAAAAATTACTATTTGTTTGGAGTGTGGGGTGTGGGATAGACTTAACTCCACGTGGTGCACCCTGGGCAACGTATACTCATACGGCAAAAAGTCTATAAAAAAGCAGTTGACCTCTGACTTCAAACTACCATGACCCCACTGTATGTCATACTCGACCCTTCACAGTACTCATCTAGCCTTTTCTCTGCCTTTGTGTCTGTCTGTCTTTTACATCTGCGAAACACTCTTCCTTATACATTCTCGAATTTTCTCACTATTATGTTCCTCCCGCCTGTGAAGCCTCTCGACTTTTTTTCAATTTGATGTTCCTTCCCCTCTATGAGGCCTAAAGTCAAGTAGAGGGCTAATGATAACTAACAAATTGCCTGCCATTTGAAATTAATTTCTACATTGTTGAGAGTCCACATTTCCACCTACTTCTGCCTCTTTAAGGCGGAGAATTAAATGAATTTGGCCATAATTGTGGAATTTAATTGAAAGTGAGGGGCTAATCGGTTGGATTTCTAAGCTGATTATTTCCGCCTCACTTGTTTCTAGCGCTTGAGGCGAAAAAACAACATGACTGCAATTGCTACTTCGCAGTCAACGCAAAATGAGAGAGAGCGACGAAAGTAGGGTCTTTCATCATTAGAGCGGCTTTTGTTATTTCATCCGAAAGGAGACCCAATGACGACACAATAAGAGCTCCATTTTTCGTTACGTAATTGATGAATCACAGCGATTTACAAATGCGAAAATCATCAAGCAGGTGGATTAGATGTGGTCTAATCACTGTTTTAATTAAAGGGAGCATTAAAATAAGAGCTCTTGGCTAAATTTATTGGAGATCCCTTGTGTAGGTTGGTTCACATTTTTTATTCAGGTTGAACATAATCAAAAATTGCATAAGTTAAACAAGGGGGAGGAAAAATAATTGGGAGGAGGGGGGGGTAGATGGCATAGATAATTATTTAATTTGATATTATAATTTGCACTAATAATTAAGGGTGAAAGTGTATATCCAATAAATTTTCTCTGCATAAGATTTTCGTAAAATTCATGAATACTGATGAATAATATAACAAGATTAGGATCTTGTGGTCAGAAATCTGAAATTTCTATCAAATGGTCAGTGGATGTAGGTCGAATCAGGGCCATTGAGAAAATCGCTACATGATTTTTTAACTTGGGCAGAAAATACCTCACCCTGAGACTTGAGAAACTCGAATTATACCACCCTTAGTGTGATTAGCCATCCGCATCACTAAAGCGCACCAGCAACCAATGAGCAGAGGGGGGAGGGTGGTGGGGGGGGGACACTAACTCGAGTTAATTTCATACTGAACTCTACTCAACCGAGTAGCCCATTAGATGCGAGTGGAATTTTGTTACAAATATACCTTCATTTAAGCGTATTTTCAAATTATCTAGTTTGAGTCGTATTAGACGCCTTAAGTAGACATCAATAGAAGTTGCTCGGAACGGATAACCAAGTGACAAAAACTACCTGAAATGCTTTAAAAGTGATTGCATTGATCAATTTTATAATAAGAAACAGTTTATACACATAATCTCACCTAAAATGGGAAAATTAGCACCAAATTTTATAACCTGCGAGATTTGAACGAACGATTTCTTCTCTAACTAGATAACCTTCAATAACGTGGTCGAGGGGGGAGGGGGGTTCACATACCCTCAAGAATTTAATTTTTTATGAATGCAAAGCTCTTAAGCGCAACTGAGGTTCTGCTCGATCCTATTTTTCAGAGCGAAAACATCCAAAGTTAACTTCCTCTATCTCTCACAGGGAACCTTATTTGAAACTATGCCCCTCATCTCTGTCATAGGTATGTCCTTCATTTTAAGTAGATAAAATATTTTAGAGTTAATGTCCGCACTAAACAAACACATTACGGAATGGTTGATGACAGATGTCATGTAATTTGCATCGATCGTAATCAAATTGGGCGTACAACTGACATAGTGAGCAAATTTGTTTGAAGAGGGGGCGAGAGGGGGAGAGAGAGAGAGCACTTTTTACTCTCCACGACCAGACTGAGGGATGCGAGCTTGGCGAATTTCTACTCCTTCCCCCAGGGGAAATCTGTCTCCTCCACTCTTCCTGCTCCTTCTCAGCCGACTTAGCGGGACACACAGACACACGAATACGGGTTTTAGCTCACGAGCACAATGTATCATTATTATTTAATGGAAGGAGAAATGTTTGCTATGCACTGTACAGCCTCACGCTTAAAAAGAGGAGGAGGAGGCGAACAAAAACCGTCCACTTCTCCCTTGCAGCCGGTTAATCTTGCCCCTCCATCTTTCTTATAATCCAATCAAAGCCTCCTTGCGTTTCTTCCTTCACCCTAATCCCCTAATATTTCTTAACAATTGACCATGTGAGCAAAGAAGATAATATTGATTAATTCACAGCTGCAGTTTATCCTATGCCTAATGTTCCTGCGACAATGGCTGCTTTAAAGGAAGTAGAGTGTCTAAGGCCCCCGGGGGGGGGGGAGGAGAAATAAACATGATAGGGTGACCCATCTTCAAATTGAGGTATACTTGCTTTGTTACGTCCCCATAATTAACGGTACTTTCTTAGCGTTGTGTCCCAACACTCCGACTTCACCTTTTATTTTTTTTATTAAGACACTTGCTCATATTACGAATGAGACCGATTTTTTCGCTTGTGTTCTCTCTTAATGAATGCTACCATGATATATCCTCGATCTTCTTTCGCTCCTGCTCATAATTAAGCTCGTAGAAGTTAGAAGAAATATACACCTCTATGTTCATCGCCATTAAAATGCATATGCTACTACATGCGTGATTAACAATAGTCCTTTGTTCTATCAACACTTTGGAGGAGTTTAGATGAGTTTAAAGTCAAATACGATATAAGCTTACCGGTACCAGACACGACATTTATCACAAAGAGGAGAACGAGGATAAGGAGAGGGAAGAAGAGAGGCCTTCTGAATGCCCGAATTTGAGAAGTATTGAACATCACAAGGCTCTGAATTTGTTCACTTGTAGATTCTACAATCGAGAAGGCACATGCAATTAGAGTAAAATGTCTGATGAAGTAAAAACGTGTAAATGAATAAATAAATCACTGATTCCACGACGTCCTACAACGCATAAAATGCACGCACATACACACACCGACCAAGAATAAAAATGATTGACAGCCAGGTGGAATTCTTTGTATGTTCACACTTGTCTATGCATGTTTATGGTCAGTCATGACTGCAACGAAGAATTAAACGAAGGCACTGCTGACTACAGTGTCTACCACTAACATACTAATATTTCTTAAAAAGCGGTCGGAGGCACCCTGATACAGCCTGGCTGGCGTTTCGACTTCTTGGCACGGTTTCAAGTTAAGTATGGAGTTAGTTGTCCCCATATCGTCATTTGTCTGGACGATGTAGTCCTGTTTCTTTGACAGTAGACTAATTGCGTTGAGATGATTCCTTATTCAATTAGGCAAATTGAAGACGCGCAGCACCAATCTACTCATTCTCCCAATATCTAGAGACGGCGGGGGTTCTAATTGAGTCATATCTTTATTCCTTAAAACTGTATTTAATTCAGTTTAATCAGATTTAAATTCGAAGAAAATAAGAGCAACTACGCCTGAAAGAGAAACCTCCAAAATCAAATGAATTGCATTCTAGTGACATGTTTATGCTAGCTTAGAAAGAAGCAGACGAACATTTCAGCTCTCTCTCTCTGTTTTTCTCGGATTAAAATAAACAATTATTCTTATACACTGATCCCATTTTTTCCAATCCTATTCAGTTTATAATTGACAACTTTCTAATCATCACCAGTAACATCATTTTAACTGCGTAAATCTGCAGTGTCTATTTAACCCACTTTCTGAAAAGGAAAGCAAGCCAACGCAGGATTCGGTTTTAAACTAGACGCACAAAATTGACTTTTCAACATTTGCTCTTGGCCAACGCTAAATCAAACATAAATAAACTTCCGTTCTTGACACCATCACATATGGTTACTGTATATTCCCCCCCCCCTCCCCCCCTCCCCCCCTAGCCATGATATCACCCTTTGTTTTCACTCGCTGACCCTAAACATCCTCAACAGTCGATAGTTATCAATGCAAATTTCAATACCGTTCTACTAGGTTTGGAAGTTGTAGCTAAGCCAAGTTATTGATTTAGGGAGAAGAAAGGCGTAGTGAAAGCAGAACGTTGCCGGAATATTTAAACGATAGCTGTGCTTCCTCCTGCTTCTTTCTACAACTACAACACGAGGATAGTAGGAGGAGGAGGAGAAGAAAAAA